TTTAACACCATTATAAATGCTGGAGGCAAAGCGGGGTTTGGGGTGGAGGTGACAGCTCGCGACCCCCCATGTAATAACCTCACAACTCCCTGAGGGGTCCCGACCCCCAGTTTGAGAACCCCTGCCCTATTCTTTTATCTCTTCTCTTCTCTTCCCCCTCTCTCCCAACCCTTTCTTATTTTTTTTCTTTCTGTCTGGGAGATAAGTCATTTAGTGTGTCAACACTTTAAACACTTTAAACTGTTAGGAAGATGGGCAGAGCTAAGTTGGGGTTATTGTTATGCTGGAAGGAGTTAATGGCTGCCATCAACCAGTTCTTTCATCTTAAGATGGTTACAGAGGTGGTTGAAGCTTTGGCTCTGCTAACTAGATGCCAGGCACTGTCACCCATTTCTCCCAACTGTTTCTCTAATTTCACAAAAATTAATAGCACTCTGCCCACCGTTACTAGATATTTTGAAATCATTGGCAATATCAACAGCAGCGTTTCACAGCTTGTTACACAGTTGAGGAACCCAAACAATCTTCTCTGCACTGTAGTAACACAATTAGGGGAAAAACAGGTCTTTTAAAAATTGGTTTCATATGGTCTGGGACCAAAAACACCAAAACGTCTTAATTTTAATCAAATGGTTAATGCATGGTGTCACTGCAGGGCAGAGTTACAATTGTGTGGGTGCTCCAACTGTGCATTTGCATATCTTAACATTAAGTTGGACTTCAACTCTGGATTTATAATTGACTTTGGGATAATTCAGCATCTTTGTAATCTTTTATATCCTTAAATTACTGGTACATACTCTCAACCTTAACTCCCTTTTATTGTAGTTTTTGTCTGGGAATATAGAGGATAATTCTCCCAAGGACTAGTAGGCAAAATGGTCAGGGATGCAACTCTATGCTTGGGGCGACTCTAAAGCTCTGACTGCCAGAAGCTGGGAGGGGAAGATGATTGGATCACTCCAATAGCACTGTTCTGTACACTACAGCTGAAGCTCTGGTACTAGCCTCTATCAGAGACAGGGTACTAGGCTTGGTCAGACCCAATATGGCATTTTTGATGTTTTTAGGTACTATTATAATTAGGGCTTTTGATTAATCACAGTTAACTCTTGCGATTAATTAAAAAAAATTAATCATGATTAAAAAAATTAATTGTGATTAATCGCAGTTTTAATCGCACTATTAAACAATAAAATACCAATTGAAATTTATCAAATATTTTGGATATTTTTCTACATTTTCAAATATATTGATTTGATTACAACAGAGAATGCAAAGTGTACAGTACTCACTTCATATTATTTTTATTATAAATATTTGCACTGTAAAAATGATAAACAAAAGAAATAGTATTTTTAATTCATCTCATACAAGTACTGTAGTGCAGTCTCTTTGTCACGAAAGTGCAACTTACAAATGTAGAGTTGTTGTTGTTACATAACTGCACTCAAAAAAAAAATGTAAAACTTTAGAGCCTACAGGTCCACTCAGTCCTACTTCATGTTCAGCCAATCGCTAAGACGAACAAATTTGTTTACATTTATGGGAGATTATGCTGCCCGCTTCTTATTTACAATGTCACTTGAAAGTGAGAACAGGCATTTGCATGGTACTTTCGTAGCCAGCATTGCAAGGTATTTACATGCCAGATATGCTAAACATTCTGATGCCCCTTTATGCTATGGCCACCATTCTGGAGAACATGCTTCCATGCTGATGAAGCTTGTTAAAAAAATGTGTTAATTAAATTTGTGACTGAACTCCTTGGGGGAGAATTGTATGTCTCCTGCTCTGTGTTTTACCTGCATTCTGCCATATATTTCGTGTTATAGCAGTCTTGGATGATGACCCAGCATGCTGTTTGTTTTAAGAACACTTTCACTGCAGATTTGACAAAATGCGAAGAAGGTACTAATGTGAAATTTCTAAAGATAGCTAGAGCACTCGACCCAAGGTTTAATAATCTGAAGTGCCTTCCAAAATCTGAGAGGGACGAGGTGTGGAGCATGCTATCAGAAGTCTTAAAAGACTCTGATGCAAAAACTACAGAACCCGAACCACTAAAAAAGAAAAGCAACCGTCTTCTGGTGGCATCTGACTCAGTTAATGAAAATGAACATGCATCGGTCCATTCTGCCTTGGATCGTTATTGAGCAGAACCCATCATCAGCATGGACGCATGTCCTCTGGAATGGTGGTTGAAGCATGAAGAGACAAAAATCTTCAGCGCATCTGGCATGTAAATATCTTGCAACACCAGCTACAACAGGGCCATGCCGAACGTCTGTCCTCACTTTCAGGTGACATTGTAAACAAGAAGTGGGCAGCATTGTCTTCTGCACATGTAAACAAACTTGTTTGAGCAATTGGCTGAACAAGAAGTAGGGCTGAGTGGACTTGTAGGCTCTGAAGTTTCACATTTTTATTTTTGAATGCAGTTATTTTTTGTACATAATTCTACATTTGTAAATTCAACTTTCATGATAAAGAGCTTGCACTACAGTACTTGTATTAAGTGAATTGAAAAAGATTATTTTTTTTATTTTAACAGTGCAAATATTCATAATAAAAAATAAATATAAAGTGAGCACTGCACACTTTGTATTTTGTGTTGAAATTAAAATCAATATATTTAAAAATGTGGAAAACATCCAAAAGTATTTAAATAAATGGTATTCTATTATTGTTTAACAGTGCAATTAATCACGATTATTTTTTAATCTCTTGACAGCACTAATTATAATTAAGGCTACATTTATGACATGGAGGTCATGGAAGTCATGGAATCCATGACTTCCAGAGACCTCCATGACATTTTTTGCTTCAGCCTCAGGGGCTGAATTACTCTGGAGCTGACAGCCAGTGGGGCCCTGGCAGGGTTCCAGTGACAGGCGACAGCAGCAGCAAGCCACAGGGGGCCCCCTGCAAAGTTCCAGTGACAGGTGACAGACTCCTGAGGGGTCCCTCCTCAGGGTTCCAGTGACAGGCGAAAGCCTTGCACGGGGAGAGGGGAACACCTTGGGCGAGCAGCTGGGTGTCCCATTTTCTCTTTGGGAAATATGGTCACCCTGCAGCTTCCAGCCGCCGTGGGCGAAGCGGGAACCCCACAGCTCCCAGCCACCACGGTGATGGGGGAAACCATGGAGCTGCAGCAGCAAAAGTCACAGGTCATGGCTTCCGTGAATTTTTGTTTATTACCCGTGACCTGTCCATGACTTTTACTAAAAATAATCATGACAAAATCTTAGCCTTAATTATAATATAACTGTGGCTTCTCTCTATTGTCATGTTCTGGGGTGCAATCCAGCCCACTGAATGGTTGTGTCTCCACAGCCTGTAAACCTGGATGCATTAAATGCTCTGCTGCTGTGCTCACAGCTAGAGTGACCAGATATCCTGATTTTAAAAGAACAGTCCTGATATTCAACACTTTGTCTTATATAGGCACCTATTACTAGTCCTCCTACCTTACAGCCCTGACATTAACAGCCAGGAGTCGAGCAAGCATTGAGTGTCTGTGTGTTAAGCAGCTCTGGTCAGCTACTCTGATTCTAGCAGTCCACTTGTTGCATCCTAGCCATGCTCTGGTATATGCCAGGTTTGGTTACACCTGGCAAGATGACTCCAACACCTCCCCAGTCCTGAATTTTCCCAAATTGTACGCTCTGCAATGTCCAACCTCTTTCATGGATCATTCAGAGGAATAATAAGGTTAGTTTGCTCCTCTGAAGAGACAAAATGCACATCTTATCACTTTAGTTGAAAAACAGCACTGGGTTGATTTAGATTAAAAGTAAAACAACTTTATTAACAAAAGGAGATGGGATTTTAAATGAGTTCAGGTATAAAGGATAGAGTTAGAAATGGTTACAAACAAATAAAAGTGCTTTCTAGAAACTTAACAAAACTACAGTCTTGGTTCAAGGTAAGACTTTTACCACACTTCCTTCCAGCAAGATGGCTGACCCCACTTCATCCCTCCTCCCCCATCCCCCTGTCAGAATCTAGCACAAAATACTTGGTTCCTTTGTCATCTTAGGTGAAAGATAACTTGCGGTTCTTTGCCCCTCTCTTTTATAGTCCAGTGAACCTTTGAAATTGATTCTTCTGAAGGTTACCCCCGCCACGTCCCCCATCCCCCAATAAAGTTTGTTCAAGCTCTGAGGGAGGAGACATGGAGTCTGGGATGAAGGAAGTTCCATGCCGCTTTCTTCCCCTGCTGGTGTTTGCTAAAATGCAAATTGATCTGTTCCTGCCCTCTCCAGTGCAAATGAATGGCTACTTGACATGTGATTGCTAATCACCTGTGGTGACACCTGAGTGGAAGTGTTAGCCTATCCTTTGTCTGAGAGAAACCTGTTTACCCTCGCCCTAGCCTTGTCTGGTAAACGCATTTTAGTTCCACATTTCCTTCATATTTGTATGGTCCCTTAGGAACTTACCATATATACACCACACAAGAATGTTAGTTATCAGTGTGGTGTTAGTTTTCACATAACTTACATGAGATACAGATTATAACATTAATGAATTGGGGTACTCTGAACTGGTCAGGCGAGCTGAAACTCATTACCAGATATCAGTGAGCCTCTTGCATTGGGATGCTGTTAGGGTCACACCTACAAACTACTTTCCAGTGTCATGATAACATATAGCATTTATGTGGTATTTATATTTTCAAAATACTATACAAAATTAATACTATTTTATAGCATTATCCTTGGGGGGGAGGGGGGAGGAACTGAGACCTGGAGATAAGTGATTTGTGCAACGTCACACAGTGGCAAAGTAACAATTAGAATTTTGGAGTGTCTGGCTCTTCGCCCTGTGGCCCACTAGACCATGGTGCCTCTCATAACATTTGAGCTGCTTATGTCTATCAAGAAATACAGCACTTAATTTAAAATTTTTGAGAAGCTATTTTAAAGTATCACGTTGATATAATGTATTCCCATCGATTTAAATGGTCTGCATTTTAACTAGACATTTTATTCCAGCAATCCATCAAAAACTGGAAGCGGATGGAACGGAAAAAGTAGAAGGATCCATGACGCAAAAACTGGAGAATGTACTGAACAGTAAGTTTTGTCCTCCCACCAGCAACTATTTATGGACTTCAGACTTTATGAAAGCTTTAATATATTTCTTGGAATTTGTTACACAGTAGAAAACAGTAAGTTTTGTCCTGGCATTTATTCTTGCATAGTGATGATTTTTGGGACCTGATGCTGCATCCATTGAAATCCATGGGAACATTGCCATGAACTTCAATAGGTACAGGATCAGATTTATGGTTAACAATGGGGAAGAAGGGGAGACTTTTATGGTAAATATTGTTTTCCTGCTTCTAATGTGACAAATCTTGGTTTTAAAAAAGTATACACAAAAAAGTTTTGAAAAATAAATGTGTATCTAGGACAATGAGTGGAATTAAATGCAATACATTAAAGCAGTGGCAGAAGAAAAATAGAGAACTGCTACTGGAAATAGTGTTTACGCTAGTAAGATTTATTTACAATACATTTTTTATTTGATATTCAGTCATTCAGACCACATTGGGACTGGTACTCCTAAGTCATTTAGGCGCTTTTGAAAATTCCATAACCTCTTCCTGTTAAAGTATTCCTCATATTGTATGATTGAGTTGGGAGAGAGTATTTACATTTCTGTTGCTTGGTACATGCTTCACCAGATCACAAAAGTTACAGTTCCTAATTCTTGGACTTGTGCCAAGATAATTTTACTTTGTTTCATTGTGATTTTTTTCACAGAGGAAGGGCTGTTTCCCTTAGTGCTATATCAATAAGCAGGGAATGACATCCAAATAACCGACTCAGTGTCTGAGAGCCTGAATATGCTGTATGAAATCAGAAAAGTGACATGGAAGCAGTATTTTTTTTTTTTTGGTCAGGATACTTTGGTGTGTGAATACACAATGATAGAGTGGGTAGGGGGAGAGGGAATAGTTTTTCAAAAGGGCCTCCACCCAGACTCTATAATAGCACATTTCATGTACACTGTTGTACGTGCAGTTTTGCACATAGTTTTTTTTTTTTTCTTGGCCATGCAAAACCTGGTATTTGCAATTTACTATCTGAACAGTTTGTGTCCACACATCTGTTTAGGGTTTTTTTATACAGGCAAAATGATACACGTAGGAAAACATGCATGTGCCAAAATTTTAGGCACAACCTACAACGCCATATATTTTACACCTAGTCACTCACATGTAAAGTCAGTGCGAGCTTTTTTCTTTTGACCAAAGTAAATTTTTAAAATGTTAAAATAGTAAAAGAACACAGCAAAAGTATCCTGTATTTAGACTAATTCATGTATCCTCTCATGGACTGCTTGTGACAGACCTCAGATTAACAATAGACTCTGTGATCATTCTCTGGTCTAGCAAGTGGAGTTGAAATTTGTATGCAAGTAATGCAGTCCATTTTTTTGCAAGCAAGCTTTTTAGAATAGCTTGTGCCAGCCACTTCAGAATGGTATTGGCTTTTGCTTTCTTGTGGAAAAGAATTGGTGACTTTTCTGTCCTGTGAAGGTGGGCAAGTCATGATGGAGGACGCTGGATGGGCCAGGGCCTGGGCTTTAAAAAAAAAAAAAGAGAGAATAATGTTATGCAAACAAGTTATTATATTTACATATAAAATCATGTATTGTACCATGCAAAGGGATGAGTTTAATCAAGAATGGTAGCTTAAAATAATTCAGTATATTTTAAAAGTTGGTTTCCTTTTATTGGTATGGTATCTACCTGATTGTCATTTTCTTCTGTCCACATACGTTTTTTTTTATTTCCCAATCTGTCAGAGAAGGAAAACTGATAAGTAGTCCGTACTTTACTTTTTGGTAAGAAGCACTTATGGACAGAGTGTCTGATAGACCTTTCTTAAATATAGACATTTCTTCAGCATAGGGCTTGATTCAGCACCCATTGAAGTCTGTGACAAAAATCCCATTGACTTTAGCATTACAGGCATAGGTCTTTATTCAGAGGTCAAGATGTGAGGATTGTTTGAAGCTTAACCCTTTGGAGAAAAAAAGTGTGTTTATAAGGTACATCAACTCCTTTTAAACATGAGTCTGCCGAACAGTCTGAAATATGCCTGTTTTTTTAATGGTTAAGAACACTTGGGGTCTGAAGCACTGGATTTTGCATCAGGTACCGTTGGAAGTGATGCACTCTTAAGTATTACAGGAGATTTTCTAAAAGGCATAAACAGAGGACAATGATTAATTTTTCAGTTTGTGTAACTAAAAAGAGAAACTTTTTCTTGCATAGAAATTTGATTTGATATTTCTCAAAAAATGAATTAATAATCCATAGAAAAGAAATGCAAATGCATTAAAATTGTGCTGAGGATTAATAAAACATATTATTTCTTCAAGGAATTGAGTTATGGATTCTTTTAAACTAAAGACAAATATACATGTGCAATTCTGTAGTTGTTAGTCACCTTTTAAAGAAGCTTCCTTATGTGTAAGGGAAAAATGCCTTGTGATTATAACTATAATTACCAGAAAATAATAAATGACTTGTTGCTTAACTATTAAATGAATGTATAAGTAAGTTGTGATTTAAAATAAAACAGTGATTCTCTTTTTTTATATATATAAATAACAGATAGGCATTTGGAAAAAATCTAATTTTATCCAGAGTCAGTATTTAAGTGTCCAGTTAGATATTATGTCGTGGGTTTTTTCTTAATGAATTAAACTATTTTACATTAAATCACATGTAGTAGAAACGGCTGTCCTGACAAAACAAAGATTTTTACGTCAGGGCTTCAAAATTTCAACAGTTTAAACATTATTTAGATTTAACAATTATTTTACAAAGACTACTTTTAACTTGAGCAGGCCACCCACAGTGTTGACTAGAGAAAATGGCATGCAAGCCACCCAGCGAGACTGATGTAATTTTTTCATCTTTGCTTAAAGTATAGTCACTAGACCAGATAATGTAGACACTTTTTACAGGCAGCGATCTAAAAGGCTAAAACAGTTCTTCTTTTTTCCTTTTGCCTAATTAAAAATGTCACAAGTTGAAAAATGTAACTATTTCACATCCCATACTAATCTTCCTTCGTGTAACAGAAATTTAATTATTTTGTGCCGAATAGCTATGGGAAACGTTTTAGTACAAAATGATATAACACTTTGTAGTCTGATTGGGGAAAAAATAATTTTATTCTCTTTAGAATGTATTTTGATTGAAAAAAATAAAATAAATATGAATAGATTAATGTAGACATTCTTATTCCCATAAAATTGTTAACATAGGACTTGATCTTGCATCCAGTAAAGGGAATGAGAATTTTACTGTTGACTGCAATGCAAACAGGATCAGACCCTTATTTAATGGTGTTCCAATAATGAGCTCTGTATAATTGCTTAAATGTGTCTATAGTTGCTATATAGATTCATTTTTTAAAACGAAGCATTTTAATGCCAAAGATCTAAGGTTATTTTTAAAAAATTCTTACTGGAATTCAAAAAAGCCCCAACTTGCTTTATATAGCTGTAAAGAAAAAAGAAAGAAACTCCCCCTGCCACCCAATGCTAACTCTTGAAGCTAGGGAATTCAACAAGTATAATTTCATTATATTCTGTTCTAAAAATAACAGTCTCTGATGATCGAATAGCCTAAAAGACATAGATTAACTGTAAAATTTAGATTGGTGGCCAAAACAAACTATAAAATCACCACAGTGAAGTTAAGCACTTGAACTAGGAAAATGTGGTTGTTTTTAATTGTACGGAGGGCTCACCACATTAAAAGGCTAAGTGATCAGCACTGAAATAGTATTTCAGTAAATTGTGACGTGTGCTTAATATAGCTGAACAGAAATCATTAAAGTGTTAATTTGAGTTTATAGAATCAGTAGTAATTATTCACTACTTTATAATTAACATCCAGTATTATTTGATAAATAAGATTAGCTATTGAGGAATATATAGTGATCTTATTCTGCAATGATTACTTTATTTCCTTTTTTTCTCCCTCCTTTAAAATAGGGGCAAGTAACACTGCAGATACCTTATTCCAAGAAGTGTTGGGTCGCAAAGACAAGGCAGATTCAACAAGAAATGCACTCAATGTCCTTCAGCGTTTTAAGTTTCTTTTTAACCTTCCTCTTAATATTGAAAGGAATATCCAAAAGGTACAGTGCATTTAAAAAATAAAGTACAAATGTGTTTTTCCCACTGAAATCAATTTACGATATTTTTTTATTATGACAAAACTCCAATGTTCCTTTATTTTAAAGGGTGATTACGATGTGGTCATTAATGACTATGAAAAAGCCAAGTCACTGTTTGGGAAGACCGAGGTTCAAGTGTTCAAAAAATGTAAGATTTGGGTTCAGTTACTTTGACTCTCTGCTGTTTTTTAACAGGAAAGATAAAGAACATATAGCACCGTGAGAAGCCTTATGTGGGCTTCAGCTTCTGTTTATATGGAGCCCTCTTTAGAATTTGGAACAATTACTTTAAACAATATTTCTGGCAAGTTTTCCATCTGAGAGATACATATTACTTTGCAGTATATATAATAGGAGCTTGCAGCCAGTTTTTTTTAAAGGCTTAGTATTACTAGACATAAAACAGGTTTCAGTAACTACAGGATACAGCTTAGGGTGTCCCTCGCTTGGCATAGTTGTGAAAAAGCTTCAAAGCCAAGGCTTGTATTTTTATAAAATTATTGTTTACAGAACTCTTTCAGATGTAAATTACAGTAAAGAGTACATGTACCTTGCTTGAGTACACAAAGTGATTGTTTTGAATATCTAATTCGAAATTACCAAGTCTAGAAATGTATTAAGAACAAAGACCCAATTCTATATAAAACTCGCTTAATAACCTTTTTTAATTCTTAAAAAAAAATCCATTTGAAAAGAAAATGAACAGAGAGCATTGCCACCCATGTGGTGAAATTAGTGATATTGCAAAAACAAAACTAATCCAAATTGAACACAACAGTGAAGTTGTTAAGGAAATATTATATATGGTAGTTGGGGTGGGGGGGGAGGGGCGGCAGTGGCTGCATATGTAAAAAGACAAGACTCCTATGTACAGGGGAAATAGTGCAGGGTAGAGTATTGAACATGGAGCTAACAAAGCAACTTTTAAATTTAATCTTCCAAGGAAAAACATAATAGTTTGGTGATATTTGAAGATTCCACTTGTAAGACCTGGTGCAATTTAAAAACTTGTTAAAATTTATCAGTTTTATCCTAAATCCATGAGATTTTGCTGAGAAAATATTAAAATTTTCAGTTGACACTTCAGGCAAAGAACGGTATATTGGAATTCTGCATTCCTTTTTTCATAGATTATGCTGAAATTGAAACACGAATTGAAGCCTTAAGAGAACTTCTTCTGAATAAATTGCTTGAGACTCCATCAACATTACATGATCAAAAACGTTATATAAGGTGATCTTTTACCTAATATCTTTGTCAGATATATTCTACGTCTGATGCATATCTGTGCATTTCCCAGATAATGCAATGAATATTTTATTACATTTTAAACACTGAATTTTTTTCTTACAGAATTTGAGATTGTCTTTTTCAGCCCAGGACTCAAGTCTATGTAAATAATGGCAATAATAAATTGTATTGTGTAATAAATGACACTCCTCTAGAATGAGAAATTTAATCCCAATTATTGTTCATTATTATTAAAAAGCTTTGAAACAAACTTGTATCTATATAAAGATTCTGATAAAAACTATCACTGTATGAATCCAAATTGAAACAGTCACTGATCTTAAAATGGACTCCATATTCATTAATAATAATCCATCTTGATTCGGCATGAAAAGGAAATGGTTTTGAATTTAGAAATACTAAAAAGTGTTAATTTGGATTTCTGTTCAAAAAGTTTTACTCTTCAGAGTATCGTTTTGGTTCTTTTGCCATTGGTTCATATTCAAAGGAGTAATATTACATGGACAGATAGATTGATTTGCATAGAAATTCTAAGGGTCAGTGACATTTTTCTACAACAGCATTTCCAAAGGGGGGAGGATATGCACAAGCTGATGTGCATGCTAGCATGAAAGTGTTTTTGAACTCCTCACACCAGCAGCCTTTTGTCAGTGCCACCCTATTTTGGGTAGGCTCTTAAAGCTTCAGGAGAGGACTTGGGAAGAGTAACAAGCCCTATTCCCCCTAAACCCACTGACTCCTAGACACTGTGAGTACTGCTACACAGTCTGTGGAAGCGAGCCTCCCAGCTCAGTTTGACACACTTGGGCTCGTGCTACCATGCTAAAAACATGGCGACATTGTGGCTTGGGCTGGAACTCGGACTTTGAAACAGAGGGAAGGGGGTGGACTTCGGAGCCCAAGCTACAGATTCAAAACACTGTTTACATAGCTATTTTTAATGCAGCAGTAATAGCCCAAGTCTGTCAACCCCGGCTGGAAGACTTGCTGCCATGAGCCGTGTAGACATACCCTCCTCCTTGATACACAGGGCAAAAGCCTCACCAGCCGCTTCTTGAGACAGTCTCAAAACCCCAGGACACCCACTGAAGAGAGCGGTGTGTGCACAGAACAAATTGCATGATTGGAGTTTTAGGCCCCGATTTAGAACAATACTTAAGGAAGTGTTTAACTTTAATCATATGAGCCATTGAAGTCAATAGACCTACTTATGAGCTCAGAGTTAGGCATTAGTTTAAATACATTGCTGAATTGGATCATTAGATTGTAAGTTCTTTCTTACAGAGACCAGTCTTCTTATATCTGAATTGTACCAACACACTTTTTGGGTGCTGTATGGATAATATGTAATTGCTATGTCAGTGTTTAAAGGAAGGGTCATGGAGCAAAGAAGTATGTTCCCTTTTTTTTTTTTAAATAATATGTAAAATAGTCTTGAAAGTTTAAAAAAAGTCTTTCCTTAGAAAAAGGAAAGTCATGTTGCTCCCTTTTTGGAGTGCTTCTTTGGAAGATACAGAAATGTGTGTTAGGAGCTTTTTCAGGCCCTCATTGAAAGAATGGAAGTGTTGAATCCTTAAGAATGGCCTGACCTACATTAAGGAAACTTATATAAGCATGTCTACACTGATTGTAGTTACACGTGGATACACTGCATCAGTGCAAAATGGGGCTTACTTCAGTCCTGGTTAATGTGATGTGTTACTAGCTGAAGCTGCACCAGTGCAAGCCCTGCTTGACCACAGTACACTGTGTTTATGCTAGGGGTTTACATGGGTGTAACTATAATGATATGGTTATACCAGTGCACATTTCCTTAATGTAGATGGAGTAAAAGAGCTTTTTTTCCCCTCCTAAGTGGTCTTAGTTACATAGATATTAAAAAAAAAAAAAGAAAAAGAAACCCTAAGACTTTAAAATAGTCTGAATAAAAATCACTTATCCTCAGTAAATCGTTGATACTTTTGATGTTCTTTACATCCTGAGTATTTCAGTGTGAATGAGCTCTGAAACACTGCAAATTATTCCTCCCTCTCCCCTCTCCCAGCCCCAAAAAAACGAATGTCTTAATCAAAAAGACACTAAAACTGTGTCAACCCATTTTTATCTCTTTTTGTAGGTCATGTTTTAGATTAATATCTGCATCATACTGTTCAAAATTCCCTTATCCAGTTAATTAAACATCTTTCCCAAAGCCAGCAAAAGCTTTTTAAAGTAGAAAGGAGTCAAATGCAGATTCAAGTCCTTTTGAAAACTGATGAAGTTGAGCTCATGATTTATAAATCTTACACAACTGCTCATTTTTAAAGAGTATCTCATCTGTCCAAATGATGAGCATGCTTTGACAAAAACAATTTGTTCTACATGTCTCAAGTACCACAGACAGTTCTTAAGAAAGTTGGAATTTTGCAATCATATCAATTAGCATTACTCAGATGTAATAATTTAGCTTTTGTGAAAGCGTTATGCACTTTTCAGTACTGCCTACTATCTTAAATCAGTGTATTATTTCATCTTGGGTAGCTTGCATTGCTAAATCCATTCTTTGTTTAGGTAGTACAAGAAACTTTGTAGTATACAAAATAGTAGATTTGCTAATACTGAAGCACTTATCTTGAAGCACTTTCAGGCTCAGTTATTCAACATGCTGTTGTTGTCGTCACATACATTCAAAGGCCTGTACTTTAGTTTCAGAATTGGTGGGCATGAACTTCTACAGTCTCTATTTGTGCACATGCAGATGTAAGCACAGCAGCTGATTTTGTTTTCTAGATACCTATTGATGTGCTCCCCCTTTTCTAGAAATTTAAGGCCTTATTTTCAAAGGAACCTCATCTAGTCTCTATCACACCCACACACATTCTCCCCTCCTCCCCCCAATAATAGTTCCTTCTTTACTCATCATTAATATTCACATTAATCAGATTAAAGAGATGATAGAACAATCAGAATATAACTAGTGCAGGAAAATACAGATTGGTGCTTATGATATCAATAATGGTTGCAACAGAAACACTGAGCATTGAACTAAGATCTTGACAGATAATTAAAGAACTTGGTTTCATTTACCTTATTGGAGGAATAACTAAAGCTACATATTAATGTTTTGTTAACTATATATATTCTGCCTATTTCTGTTCTTTTCTTTGGTCAGTTAAGGCTTTGCCTCCACTAAATTAGGAAGGGAAACTGCAAAGCTTGTTCTAGTTTTCAGTGTAAATATCTCTCATTTAAAATTCTACTAGTTCTTTAGATTTTCCCCCCTAAGAAGTACAGAAAAGGTTCTTTATGATTAAACTTTGCTGTATTTTAAGTTTTCAGTATGTCAAGTCTGAGCTGCAACCTCTGGACTTGGTTTTACAGATATCTTTCTGATCTCCATGCTTCTGGGGACCCTGCGTGGCAGTGTATTGGTGCCCAGCACAAATGGATTCTTCAACTCATGCACAACTGCAAAGAGAGCTACGTTAAAGATCAAAAAGGCAAGAATGTTTTTCCAGTTTACAGAAAGTCTTCGGTTTGACACTTAAGGGTTTGACATGGTTTCTTATATTTTATCTGACACAAAAGTAAAGGTTAGAATTATTATTATAACAACTTTTTACTTTACTTTGATGGCATTAAATAGTGAAAATATTATTAGGCTTCATCCATTCAGCTAAAGTTAGATCCAACCCTTGAAATATTTCTCCATGTTGGGTTTAATTCATATTGATTTTTAATTGCTGAATACAGATATCTGTTGTCAGAGTATATGCCAGTAATGCATGGATATGTAGGAGACTGGAGCATTGTGGAATACTGAATTTGCACATATATTTTTATTGAGACTCAGTTTAGAGATCGTGAGGTTGGCTGCAACCTGCTACAGTGTCTAAATATCCCACTTACTCAGTTTTACCAACAGGTTCATCAAATACTCAGTGATCTTCATTTTCACTAGTGTTGCTACTGGAAGTATTGCTTTTCTATAAGAGTTTCATCACCACAACTGCCAATTAACATGGTCTGTTATAATAATATTATTTCCAGAAAAACTAGTCATAAGGCTAGTATTGCAGGGTGTGAAGCCAAAGAAAATGTTACCATACTTTGATTTGACTTGGAAAATTAACTATTGGTCAAATTTTAGTATCCATATAGTCATTTGGATCCATCCAACTATTAAATGGCATCTTTTTTCACTTAAAGAATAAATAAGATACTACTCAAGGTAAGTGTATCAACATCTATCCCTCTTCTGGGCAGAAAGATAACTCCCATATTAATGTTACTCCATGTGTATCCCAAACCAAAAGTATCTCTTCTTTGGAACAACAAGAATTGTATCCATTGTAGAAGTGCTCCACAGAACTGGTATAGGACTCTTAGGCCTCGTCTACACTGGGGGGAGAGGAGGGATCGACCTAAGATACGCAACTTCAGCTATGAGAATAACGTAGCTGAAGTCGACATATCTTAGTTCGACTTACCTCGCCGCCTCACTGCTCAGGGTTCGATTGCTGTGGCTCCCCCGTCAACTTTGCTTCCGCCTCTCGCCGATCTGGAGTACAGCAGTCGACGGGAGAGTGATTGGGAATCGATTTATCGCGTCTACGCTACACACAATAAATCAATCCCCAATAGAGCGATTGCTACCCACCGATCCAGCGGGTAGTGTAGACATAGCCTTAGACGTGTTTCTCCTTCCAAAGAGGTTACCAGGTGAGATATAGGGTTTAGCAGGTACTTAAAGTATTGAACACGATGAAGATAATAGAACCATGAATTCATGAGATCTGGTTAGAACATGCACAGCATATACCTTTAGCTTCAGTCCACCCTAGTGGATGATACTGTGTGCCACTATGCCAGCAGTGATAGCAGGGGAGATTTTCATTCAGGAATACACCAATTTAGGTGCAAAAAATAAAGTAACAAGATCCACATAAAAAGATATCTGTAGGATTTCTTTTTATCATCTTACCTGAGGGCTTATTGAGAGCAATCATCCCATAGCTTCTTACCCAGAAAAATAAAACAGGAAGATAATATGAGATTGAGACTATTTTTTTCTGAAGCTATCTAGAACAGTGTTTCTCAGTGATCGGTCTTTGGACCTGAGATCTCTCTGACACAGTTTAGGAATTCAGCAAGCCAATCCCTGGTGTCAAAAAGGCTAAGAAACACTGGCCTGGAAGACTTAAAGACATGTTTAATTAAAATTAATAGAAGATGTGTGTCCAAATTTTCTAGCTTGCCTCAATAATCTCAACCTATGTATAACACTTCTCCTTACTCCTTATGATCTGAATTGTTAAGGTGTGGGACTTACAGCAATTCACCCCCATCCCAATGTTAATATTAAACAATTTATTGTGTTAGCAGCCTTTCTGGGAACCAAACAGGAGGAATTTATGTAACTTTAGTCTGCAGAGCACATACATTTATACATGGATGGAACAAGCGATATATATATAAATACATATATTAAATGAGCTTAAATGAATGTGATCAGAGATGTAAAATAGATTAAAACACACTATAATAAATATGTCTTTCAAGCAGGAAGTGTGTCTTTCCATTCTAGGTGTAAAATTGGTTATGCATGAAACTGAGAAATCTAATCAACCTATAGAAATAGAAACAAGGCTTTTGTCAGAAGAAAGTTATTTATATTTATACTGCATTCAGAGGCCATTTCGTAAGTGAAGTTGGTAACAGATTTTCAGACTGCAGTCTTCTATTAAAAGCTCTCTTTTCCAAGAAAGATTCTTTTGTATATCAAGTATTTGGCAGCAGAGGTGGGTCATAAGGTTGATATTCTCTTGAACACTGTATTAGGTCTTTTTCAAGGTTTCAGTTTTTAACAGGCATAGCATGCACTTATCCTAGCAGATGGTGCTCTTCATATTGTAAATATTGGGATACAGAGCTGAAGATTACTGCTGCACCTTAAGCACACCAGCATTAATCATTGGATATTCCAGACTGTTCTCCCACTGACTGATTATACAACACAAATTTGATACGTAGATTTAAATGGAACCAGGACTGACTATGTTAAAACTCCAGTAAAGATACCTCAAATACCAGTAGGAGGTGGACAGAGAAACAGTGTGTGTATGATGTATTTCCCAACTTTTTAGTGAGTTAGTGTCACAAGCAATTTGCAGCTAAACTGTATCTGTTTCAAAGGAGACCAGTGCTCTGAATTGTTACACATGAAGAATTTTCTATTGCCTTAATACAAATCTAATTCATCTCTTAAATTCCTGTGAAACAGGTCCAAAATTAGACCAAAGCCTTTGCTTTTCCTGCCAGGAAAGCCTTTGGTTAATGCCCCGCTGGCATCCCCAAACAGGATTTTTAGAGCTGATCATCAAAGCTAGTTGGCTTTTTGGTTTGTTGGGTTTTTTTGTTCAGATGGTGGGTTTTTTTTTTTGGCAAGTTGTGTATGTGGGGGAAATCTTTTAACACTACAATTATTTGCTAAATGCTCGAGTTAACAAGGATGAGTGAGACATTTAGCATGTCAGTTATTCTACGACCTGCCCACAATGGGGATTTTTCCTATTTCAGCTATTGGTGATCGACCACAAGTGTATCTGAGCCAATAATAACCTGTAGTGCATGGACAGTGTCACCTGCTATAAGAGCTCCCCGTGTGTAAATACTGGATTTGCCTGTCTACACTAGGGAATTCAGTGGTGCAGCTACACCAGCCAGGCCACTGATGGCTGTAATCAGGACAAGGATTATATTTACTTCCCCACTATGCATGTATTTTTTTTTTTAATTTCCCTAGAGTTGCCCTGACAGTCTACCCTGCTGTCAATTATCAGAATCTCAGAGCCTCTACTAAGCATAATTGGAGAAGGAAGTTAGTCAGTATAGATGCTCATGTAGTTGACTTTTTTATTGTATGCTGTAATTTAAATAGATATTTAAATATGATTTTGTATCCCAAATGAGAGTGGAGGATTCACAACAGTACCATCATCAGAAAAAAAAATTACTCTTTACTTGGGCACTGCAGGACAAGCTGCATCCTATAGTAATGGTTAGTGGTAGCTAGCCTGTGCTAGAATTCTGAGCCACCACAGCGCAAACCTTGCAAATGCAACTTGGAAGTGCTGAAAGAGGGAAAAGATGGCAAGCGCTTTCCCTACTCAGCTGTATGAAGTCAGGTTTAACTCACAGCGCTGTACAGCTGCAAGTGTAGCCAAGGCCAGAATACTAATATAGGTCCTGAAGTTTCCTCCTGGAATTTGTAAGTAGGGCTAATTAGAAGTCCTGCATATTTCAAATGTTCTCTGCTCTGTGCTCAAATTGTGAATTTATGTATTTTACTGTCCCATTGACATTGAAAGTTATGTCAGGCTGTGTGTAAAACTATTTGTCAGCCTGACATGGATGAAGAAGCTGACAACTGAAATAGCAAATCAGTTGTAATAATTAAAGAAATCTTTTGATGGGAGAGTCCAGGCTACATACAAACGACACGAATCTGGTGATTAGGTAAATGGTTATGTTTATTTTCTGAGGGTGGAGGTAAGGGGAACAATGAGGGAAAGAGAATCTTAACAAAATATGTAGGAGAGGTTGAGATTTCTAAAGTACTTTGGTGTATTTTTGAGTTCATTTCTCAGAAATGATATTCAGACGGAGAACAAGAACATAAATAAATCCATGCAAATTAATGGACTAATCTTTCATGGCTGGCACCAGTGCAACCTTCACAGCAGCTTTTACAGAGCTGGAAAGCAGATTACAGGAGGAGATTACAGGACTTCTCTGCTCCCTCTCCAACACTTATAAACCAGAACCAGTGCCCTCTATCTCAGTTGAGGAGCAATTCTAGATGCACGAGACAATGATCCTTATCCCAAACTGAACCCAACAATGATATTCACTCCCACCAGCTGATAGAGCATTGTGTCTACTACCAGCAGGTAAGACAGTTCTTGAAGATCAGAACTTCCCCTTTGCTCTCTCAAACCAAAGTGAGCTTGCCAGCCACCCATCCTTCTACTGCAAGGAACCACAATTCTCATCACCCTGTGTTCCCCCAACACTGATCAGGTGATAATCCTCAGGCATAATTGATGGAGTGGATAACAGACATAGCATTAAGTCCAGACACATCTCCGGCCACATCACCAATGTTCACAGAAGACCTGTGTCTAATGAAGTATGCAGGGAGAAGCTAGCGTAGGTAGTACAAGAAATTATTAGAATCCAACATAAAAGCTTAACAGTGTAACAGTGGCTGAGACCAAGAGACTACCCTCCTCCTCACCACGCACTCTGAAAAATATTAGGCCATGGAACTTTTCCAGATGGTGAGCCTCATACTCCAGATTATCTTTGCCCAACTGCAGACCCTGGTACAATGACAAGACCCCATGATTCTCATTAACGGAGTTTTGTACAGCTGTGGAAACAGAGTTTCTGAAAACTCAGAGAAATGTCCACATCATCAGGTGTACCCATGTTTTTA